TAAAAATGACCAAGTCCGCGATTGCGAGAGCACACTGCGGAATTTCCTGGTGATATTTACGTCATGCATTGTCCGTAATCAAGTCCATTGAAATGCGTCTCCGATAATCAAAAGAGCTATTATTCCGATTTCTATGCAGGTTTGTTTTTTGTCCTTAAATTATTTCATACTTGGCACCTTTAACAGACTATTATTCTGTGACAAAGCATTTTCTTTAAAAACCCAGACATATTTCGCACCATCATTATCTTTTGAACGATAACTGCGAGTTTGAATGTCCTAGTCCGAACGCACTTGATTTGGCGGCGGTCCCAATGAGTCGTACTCGATCAAAACTTCAACTCGAGAAAAACGCGAAAAACAGTTTTGGTTAATAAAACACTGTAGATTTGCTGCATTATTATAAATATACACTAAAAATGGCCAAACATATTAACCACTGATATCATAGAACTCATAAAGAGTGTCAGATAATGAATAATTTCAAGCTCGAGCGTGAAAAATGAAGAAAACTGCTGGCATTTGAGTCCGTACTCAGGAACGTTCGGGTTTTCCATTGTTATGCAAACGAACAACGAAGGATAATCCTCTGACAAACATTACTGTCCCACTGTACACGCTGACAGTTTACAAACAAGCTAATCCTTCAAGTGTCTCTGATAAGACATCTAATAAAACGGTTTTCATGGTGAAACAAAATGGCCGATGTTTGAAAAAAATTGCTGTGTCAGAGTGCGACACTGAGTGGCAGATTTTTCTTTGCCTCGTCTGTCAACGCTTTCTTTCTTTTCTTCGCCATTGCGTTAGAAAAAAAATGTATTAGTAAAATAGAATATTGACTTGGAAAATAAAACGATTTAAAAGAAAGTTGTGCAAAGTTACAGTACTCCTTTCGCACAACCTCCCGCCCGCTTCCGCTTTCCAATCACCTTTTTCTCTCGCTTTTGCGACCGCTTGTTGAATTCGACCGGACAATTTCCGCTTTATTTTCGACCGCGCAAACCCGAAATATCACCGCCCACCTGCTCGCTCACGCGCATTTAAAATTCGGACTAACAGAATAATTTCCTGAGGTTCACATTGTCTT